TTGATGCTGTGAATGCTGTAAATGGTGTGGATGCTGTGAATGGTGTGGATGCTGTGAATGGTGTGGATGCGGTTGATGGTTTGGATGCTGTGATTAGTGTGGATGCTGTGAATGGTGTGGATGCTGTGAATGGTGTGGATGCTGTGAATGGTGTGGATGCGGTTGATGGTTTGGATGCTGTGATTAGTGTGGATGCTGTGAATGGTGTGGATGCTGTGAATGGTGTGGATGCTGTGAATGGTGTGGATGCTGTAAATGGTTTGGATGCTGTGATTAGTGTGGATGCTGTGAATGGTGTGGATGCTGTGAATGGTGTGGATGCTGTAAATGGTGTGGATGCTGTGAATGGTGTGGATGCTGTGAATGGTGTGGATGCTGTGAATGTTGTAAATGCTGTGGATGCTGTAAATGGTGTGGATACTGTGAATGGTGTGGATGCTGTGAATGTTTTAAATGCTGTGGATGCTGTGAATGGTATTGATGCGGTTGATGCTGTGAATGGTATGCATGCTGTGAATGGTATGGATGCTGTGAATGGTGTGGATGCTGTAAATGCTGTAAATGGTATGGATGTGGTTGATGCTGTGAATGCTGTTGATGCTGTAAATGGTGTGGATGCTGTGAAAGCTGTGAATAGTGTGAATGCTGTGAGTAGTGTTGATGCTGTGAATGGTGTGGATGCGGTTGATGGTGTGGATGCTGTGATTAGTGTGGATGCTGTGAATGGTGTGGATGCTGTGCTTATAGACGTTCAGCTGCTCAGTGACCGATTGGACTGGAAATATAACGGATCCTAAAAGTTTTACATTAAAATAAAATAAGGTGTAATAATTCATTTATTCATTTATAATTGAATATAAAAGAAAGGTGTACTAGAGGCTCCCAGAGAATCTACGCATCCAGTCACCTCCCATGGCTGGAGGGAGCAACTGGAGTGTCCTAGTCCAAGTCCAGAGTAGAGTCCTGCTACGACGCTGCTGTGGTGTAATGCAGGCTTTAAGGAGGCCTCTGGGGTAACGCTGTGTCTCTGTTTGGACAGACACGGCCAGGAACCCAGAGTTTCTGGAGATGCACGGTGGGACGTCAGAGCCTCCGCTCTGCCTCATGATGGGCTACACTGATGGCATGCAGATCTGGAGCATATCTGTAAGTCCCACTTTATTCCTCACAGCTTTATGTTGGATGAAACACAGGCGGCCATTTGTCCCTTTGTGTGCTAAATGCTTTCTGATGTGGTCTTAGAGCCGCCATGGAGGGAGAGCCACTACTTTATCTGGGTAGAAATATTACTGCAAACAATTAACGGGATGGTTTTAACTCAGTTTTTTTTCTAAGGAAGATTTAAGTTGGACTAAAACCTTTTTTCACTGATGCTGCAGTCCCAGCTGGGACAGTCTGTTTCTGCCTCTGTTGGACCGTGTCCCTTATCCCACCATGTAGATGTTTACCAACCAGGGCTGCATGTGGGGCAGCTGGTCGCACTGTTGCCTTCAAGCTGGAACGTCCAGAGTCCCAGTTTGGCTCGTTCTACATGTCCTCCTTGATCAGGTGTTTTCTCCTGGTCTGGGTGGGATGGGCTGGAATCCCGTCCTGGGTGGAGTTCAGGAACACAATCTGAACACTTTCACAATAGGTCACTGCAGTACCACGGTCTGTCCACTAGATGTCAGTGCTGACCATGTTAAGGCCATTCTGTCTAATTCACCAAGTATAGTTTCATCTGAAAGGCTTGAAGAGAAGAATGGTAAAGAAAATAAAAATGTTTATTATAAGCAGTCAGAAGAAAATCAGACGAATGTATAAATCCAGATTTAATTCCTTATTTAATCGCTCCAAAGGTCAAAATCTGCATCCTGAACATTACAAGCAGCTCTGGATCCACAGCTAATTTAAAGTTGGTCATTTTCATTTGCATTAAAGAACATCATTATTACTAATAATTAACTAAAGGATTCCTTATTAATGAAGAGGAGCTGCTGATGAATGTAAAGAAGAAGCCATCAAAGGTCTCCTCTGCCACGGACTAGAACTGGTTCTGGTTAAATAAACATTTTTGGACATTTCTTAAACTGAAGAGAAACATTTGAACAGATGTTGATGTTTCCTCATGGAGAAAGGGCTTCATCTGTAAGTACAAACCAGCCTCTGGTCCTTTAGTGTGAAAAAGAAAAGCTGTTTGGATTCCGAGCAGAATATTAATCTGTGAAACAAGCAGGAGGCAGTCAGGGGCCATCCTAGGATCAGAGGGTTAGGGGCGCGGGCCCCCTGGTAGCTGTCCTGACAGGCTACATACATTTAGCTTTTTTCTGCTTATATTTTATACATAAACTTGCTCAGTGCCTTTTGTCAATAACTGACTGAATCACTCAGCAGAGCAGCATATCAGTGTTTTGTTTTTCTGTTTTTGGGCGGGCTGTACTGAAAATGACCTGCTTTTCCTCGCCTTCCACCTTCTGCTCTCCTTCCTCTGCTTCGCCTCTGTCTCTGTTGAATATTTAAAAAAAACACCTGATTGCAGTGATTCCCTCAAAGTGTTGCTCAACATTTTAGTTCAGGAGCTCCATCCTGCTGGTTTATCTTTTTGTTTTTTATTAATATTTCTTTTGCGCCACAATTCAAAATTAATGGCATGATTTTCATTTAGTCTTGAGTTCTTTATAACTTTTATCAATGTCAACCTATTTCACTGGCAGCTGATTTTTCTCCATCTTCAGTGGTAGAGTATGTCTACTTTTTATCCAAGTACTGTATAGTTTTTAGACCCTTTTATATTTTTAGTTTGTTTTTGTTTAACTTTTTTCAATTTAAAAAGCACATGCAATATAAAAAACACCATATTTTAGAGTTGCTGTGATTTAATATAAGGGTTAAACTGAACCCCAGAAATGGGCTAGAAACGCCTATGGCGTGGCGGCCTGGCTGGACAGGGACCAACTCATTCTCATCTAAAACAAAACTAGAAGGTTTTAGAGGAACTGCTGTGCAGCAGAGTTGGTTTCTGTTCAGAAAGATAACAGAAGATAAGATTCTCACAGCGGAGAAGTTCAGTCGTCACATCGGCTCAATAGTCAAAAGAAGAAGGAGCCAAACGCAGGAGAAGGTGCATGGCGTATATACATTGATTCCACATATATATTTATAACAGCTGGAATGTCTTATTTAACAGGATTATTGCAGATCAGTTATTGCTGTTTTAGAGTCTCATTGTAGAGTCTGGTTGCAGCAGGATGAATGACCTGCAGTAGCTCCTTTTTCCAAACAGGCTGTAAAAGTCTTTGACTAAAGGAGCTGCTCAGCTCCTCTCCAGTCTGCTGCAGAGGGTGGAAGGTGGCGTCCATGAAGGAAGCGGATCCTGAGCCCAGTCCGAGTCCTGAGCCCAGTCCGAGTCCTGACCTGTTCACAGGCTTTTGGCTCTGGGTAGTAAATAGGCCATGAGAGAAACCCTTCAGATTAGGAAGAGTGGCTCAGCTGCCACTGAATGCACCTACAGCTGCACTAACCGGTGTAGTTCTCAGGATGACCACAAGAGGGGGGCGTTTCTATCAGCAGGGAAACGTTGAAACTTCCCCAAAACAAGCTGGTTCCTAAACATGTGAGGGCAGAGTTGATGCAGAAAGCAGCGGTTCTGTCTTTAAACTGTTCTAATGTGGAGGCTGTTCTGACTGGGCCGGCCGCTCCGCCTGCAGCTCTGACTCAGCCTTGGATAATCATTAGAGGATTTTGTCAGCTCCATAACATTACAAATTACCCACAATGCTGCAGAGGTTTCTCTCACCGCGTATCGCCTTTCATATAGAGACTGTCACTAAAACATGCAAACTTCACATACATCCTGTGAGATCTAAACACTCAGCAGTCCTTAATCAGCCCCTTTCTAAACATCCACAGGCCGCAGATAGAAGGACGCGCTCCTCCTTCATCCCTGATGGCACACGGCGGGCGGCCTCTGATGTGGCGACAGCCGCGCTGCTTCTCTGCTTCAGTAATGGAGGAGCAGAGCTGTGCAGCTGCACACGCCCAGAGTCCTTCGCTTATTCCTCTTCACACAACACCAGCGGGGCTCTGGTGCTGTAATACCCCCCCCCCTCATTGTTTTTCTTTCAGTTTTCAAAGTTTACAGGAAATTTCTGGGTTGTGTTTTTTGCTGGCTTTTAAATAAGCACTGATGGTGCCTCAGTTTCCATCTCTTGAGTGACTGTGAAGTGTTTGTGACATTTGCTAAGCCAACACCCTGAGTAATGGCCCGGCACAGTGTGAACGGCTTCACACACACTCGGATGCACTGGTGAGACGGAGCCTCGGACTCGTCGTCTGTTGTGTTTAGGTGATGTAGATGACTGTCGCCTCACGCTGGAGAGGTGTCGTTAAGCAGCGGCTGATAAGAGGATAAGCTTTGAAAGAAGATGTCAGTGGAAGGGAGGGGATCTGGGATCTGTGTTCCAGGATTTCCCATCTTTGGGAATATTTGAACCAAATGACTGCGTCACACAATGAAAAAAACAAAAGCTAAAGCAGAGAAATCCGTGGAAAACATGAATATAACAATAATCCAAGTATTACTATCAGCTTTAGTGTTTTAGATGTTGAGATAAATGAGAATAAAAGCTTCTAGTATTAAAGGCTGCGCTTGGGACCAGATATTTACATACTCAGCTGAAAAGATCAATCTTTTCCTGGATGTCGAACCATTTTTATTTGCTTCAGGAGTTTACCGTCTCTTTCAACACTCTGAAAAAGCCAGATAATGATGATGTCATGTCTTTTAAGCCCGTCTTAATCTCAGAAGTCTGGTTTATGCCGGGGTCAAATTTCCAGAATGTCTGAAGGTCCTGCACCGTCCTTAGTCCCAGACAGGAAGTTGTTCTGGTGTTAAATCTGCAGAGCAACCCTGGAAGCAAAGTAAAACCTTCTGGTGAAGCTGGCTGCTGAACGCCTTCGTTCCAACATGGGCCATTTCTCCACAAGGCCACATCACAGAGGCCGCCATTTCTGGATGGGGGGGTATCATCCTGCTGGGGGAGGGACAGGGTTACCTCCCCACACAGAACGCACCATGAGAGAAGCAGGAAGGAAGGATTTAAGATCATTGCTCCCACTTTCCATCAAAACCATTCATTTAAAATAATAATAATCCAGAGAGCATCTAGAGTGGTGTAGAATGGAAATATAAGGAAAAACAATATATTCTTTATGAATAAGGATTTTCTATTTATGCGCATCCAAAATGTCTAAATATTTACTCCTGGTTGGTGTGATGACTGCACCAATAGAAGCAGGAGGTTGGAGTTACATTAGAGGAGCTGATGCTAGCAGCTCTGGATTGAGCTGAAAAATGGCTTCTTCTCTGCTCAGATTAAGGCGCAAAACAAAACCAGTTAAAGGATGAATGCTGGTCCACTTTTAAAGATGGTGGAGGAAGCAAAGGAGCTCAGAGGGAACGGGTTGGTGGACACTTGACTTCTGCACAGGAAATGTTTGCTAAAGCTCAGTGTCATTATCCGTTCCGTTAGCCTGATCCGTTCCGTTAGCCTGATCCGTTCCGTTAGCCCGATCCGTTCCGTTAGCCCGATCCGTTCCGTTAGCTCGATCCGTTCCGTTAGCCCGATCCGTTCCGTTAGCCCGATCCGTTCCGTTAGCCCGATCCGTTCCGGAAGCCCGATCCGTTCCGTTAGCCCGATCCGTCCTGCGCCATCAGCTCCTTTGACCATCCAGATCTACATCCGGGTCTCCCTAGATTTATTTTGTTAAAAAGACGTAAATGACGTTTTTTTCTCCCCAAAAACAGTCGGCGTACTAAAATATAATATGTTAAAGGTTAATAATGTATTTCCTGACAAAATAAATACCTTACTGCGCTACTTCCAGGAGCTAACTTTATCAGCTTTGGATTTATACATAAAACTATTCTAAATAAATGTCTTTTTTTAAACATAAATCTATTCCGTTCCTGTTAACATTATGCTACATAGTGCATAATCTATAGAAAGAATCAACTAAAACGCAGATAAAGATGGTTTAATCAGATTTACTGCTCTGATCGCGTCCCATGATGACGTCAGAGATGCTGTTTAACAGAGAAAATGGAAAAAGCAAATAAAAGTCATTATAATAGTTTAAAGATGTAGTTATTTAGTTGAGCATGGTTT